GGTACGTCCCTATGATCATATGTTTTAAGGAAATGCTCATGTTTTACTCATTATAAACTTTTAATTTAAAAGTTTCCCTTCTAGTTCCATTGTGCTGCCCTCTCTTTCTTCCCTCCTATTAAATTTCTCATCAAGGTGTTCAATTAATCATTAATTATTCAACCAACATTGATTGAGCATCTGCCATTTTTAGCCTCCATGCTCCAAGGCACACTTTGGACACCAGAGCTCAGAAGAGAGCAAATCACACAACCTAAAATGGGAAACAGGGCCTCACTCCCTAAGCCAGTAGTTCTAACTCCTACCTCTCATACCATGCTGTATTTTTTCATTATCTCCTACAGACATTTTATATACTACTTTTATATATACATCTATACAGACATGGACACATATACAGACATATACATATATATATGTATATATATATATATATATATATATATATGCACAGATACGCAATAATTTTTTCATTAAATATAAACTCCAGGAAGACAAAGATTATGTTTTATACTAAGAATGCCTACAACAGTTTCTGACCCATAACAAATGCAAAACCAATTTTTTCTTGAATAAATGAAAACAAAATTTAGGAAAATGCAGACCCCACCTTTAAGGAATATTCTATCTACATGAAAAGTTAAATCAGTATAAACACTATTGGGGAACAAGATTAATTACAATGATCTTAGAGTTTTCAGTGAGGAAAATGTTAGTCTAAATGAGGAGAGATGAAGAAATACATCACAAGAAGTCGGAGGTGGAAGGGCAATTAGACAGGAGGAAGGTTGACTTACTCAAGTCAAAATGTAATTGATGACAACTTAGCACTACAATGGAGGCCTTCTAGATTTCTGTGATAGTTTGAAAACCAGGGAATGACATCTGTGGGAGATGAGGAATCCAGGAAGACAGAAGGGGGCAAGTGAAAACATAAAATGTTGCCTTGGGTACCGATCATTAAAATATCAGCAGACAGCCATGGTGGGTTGACTTATATATATCTGAATTTGTCTAGAGTATTGTATTAAAATCAAATGTCTCTATCAACCACAGTAATTATATTTCGGTTGTCAAAAATCACCTAAATCAATAAAAATAAGATCAAATATTTAAATCCATTTCTAGTGGGGTAAAAAAAGAGAAATGTGTATTCAGCTAAAAAGTTTAAAAGTGGATAAGTGCTGAAAATAGAAAATTTAGAGTATCATATAAACAAAGTGGAAAACCTATAAAGAACTAATTAAAAGAATATATGAAACAAAATGTTCATGATGGAAAGAGCAACAAACCATAGGTGTTTCACATTTTTTCTGTAACTTAGAACATCCTAATGCTCTCTTGATTATTCTGACATGGAATACTTAGGAAGATCACGTCAACCTTCCAGGTGAAAAAGGCTGGAGTTGGACTTATTTACCAAGTGCCTTCCCAGTTGCAATCTTCTAAGTTTTCAGGATTAGTGCATTCCAAGTACACATCTCTACTGTCCCAACTTTTTCTCTGAAAGAAAAAAGAAATTGAGCAGCATCGACACCAAAGAGTCTTACTTATTCAAATGCTTTATCTGTGTCTAGTAATTCCTGAGCACTGAGACATAACTTCAAATGGTATCTCTTATCAGTAGACAATGAACTACAAATGGAAAACCCACTAACAAGCACAGCAGAAACTTTACTTCCTTACCTATAGACTTTGACAATAAAGTTCACTATTTTGTCAGAAGTTTCACCTCTAGTCAGAAGCCACCTTCTCATAAACACAACTCAGTGATTCAGTGCACTTCGCACTGAATCAGAACATTATGACACTGAATCATATGCCCCAGAGAATCCATCCCTGGAGAACTTGCAGTCAATTTGTACGTGCTTCCTCGGGTCTTTGCACAATAGCTAAAGAGGCTTGAACTTGGGCCTTCAGTTGAGAAAGCTCAAGAGAGCTAACCTGGAGCACCACTCCCTCATATACCTATAGGAAACCTCCTCACACAAGATTCAGTGTCACCATGACATCTCCCAATAGCAGGTAGAAACAAAGACTAAATAAAGGTTTTAACTGGGGAAAGAAGAGAATGGTGGGGTGAGGGCATGAACAAAGGCAGGTGAGCCAGAGGGTGAGGAATGATTGTGTAGAACATACAGTTTGTGCAGGGCCTATATATACAAGCTAGGTCAAGAAGACGGAAGCCTCTTTGTAAAAAGCCTGGTTACCCTCCCACCCACCCTTTCAACCAAGAATTTTGGATCATATGTACTAGAAATGTACAGACACTTTAAATTGTTTAGAAAAATATCATTACAGATGATTTCAAACAGAACTTTTAAACTGGGAATCAAAAGACCTAAACTTGTTTGTATAATTTGAGCAAATACTTTAACCTCCTGAATTCCATTATTTTCTCTGTAAAATAAGCATAAATTATTGATCTCACTGAGTATTTGTGAAAATCAAGGGCCTAAACTGTCTTGAACAATGAGACCATTGACTCAGTTGCAAAAGAGTGAGAGATGAATGAATCTGCAGGCTGGGCTTTGTCCAGAACCAGATGATGAGGCCACAATGAAGGTTCCCTTTGTATACTTCTTGTGTGTGTGTGTGTGTGTGTGTGTGTGTGTGTGTGTTGTATACTTCTTATTGCTGCTCTTCTTGAGCAGATTGTTCCATTCTCTAAGGAAGCTTAGCCCTCTTGGCAGCAATGAATTTGCCAACAACACTTTGAAATTCATTCAATCTAATCTGTGTCCAGTGGGAAATGTACCACTTATGCTGAGGAGAAGGGATTTTCATCACAGAATCCAATTTAAGGATCCCTCTCATATCATTCATTATGGTCAGATAACACCCCATGCACAAATGTGTCAAGTTCACCAGGCATAGGGAGGCCTGCTTAATATGTACTTTGAATGATTCATACCCGATCAATCCCATCTCAGGGATCCTTTTTTAAAAACACAATCAGGTTTCTATCTCCACAACTCATTTTTGGTAGAAATATGTCTTTTGTCTATAAAGACTGTTTACTGCCAAAATTTAAAAAAATTTTAAATGCAAAGGATGTTTTGCCCATTTACTACTGTCTCTGGAGCAGAAACTAGGGATAGTAGGAGTTCTTGTAACACAATTCAATGAAAGAGTCCTTCTCTATTCACAGTCGTTCAGTCACAAAGTCCTGTCCAACTCAGTAGCAACATTAAAATTAGAAGCAAGCATTAAATCTTCCAAATATTGCAAGATGAGAAATTAATCATGTTGGAAAGTTCACAAGTTATGGTGTGCCTCAGCAACCACAGAAAACATGCACATTTATTTACCATATTGGTTCCCACAGGAAAAAAATCAACTATTGTTTATAAGAAAGGTATTGGGGGTGTTTTAGGCCAACAAAGTGAAATTTAGCAAATGTCTTAAAAACTGGTCTACAAGTGAAAAAGGTATGAATATTATCAAGTAAGACTTTAGGAAGTTCCCATGGAGTTCTCTAGTCACCAACATTGGATAAATATGTAGAACAGGAACAAGAGAAATTCTGTTTTGAATTATAATCTGTGTGAGTCCCTTAAGTAGAATGATTTGGTCTACCAGAATAACTCAACTTTATTTACATGTTCATGGAATAAATTTTCACTCTAGAGATTAAATCTCATCTGTTTGTTGGTCTCTTGAAGTTCTACTTCAATAGTTCACCAGAGTGGGACTTCAGATCAGTCTAAAGGAGTTACAAAGACTTTGAAAAATTATTCTGTAACAGCTATTAAAATCTATAACTACACATACTCTTCATCCCAAGCTTAGTTTGAGGAATCTATCATACAGAAATAAAATGTCAATACATATGAACATATGGATCAAGTTTTTTATTAAAGTTTCATCTTAATGACAATAGTCCAGTAACAACATGTATGTTCACAATAGAGGAAATGATAAATAAATTGTTATATCATATGTCATCAAAGTTATATATCTATGAAAAATGAATGTGAATACACTATCTAAAGAGATATATTTCCTCAATATATTTTCAAACTTGGAGAACTCAACAGATTAATATGTTCATAGAAGGAATGTAAACTATTTTCACCATAATTAAATTTAAGTACAGTGCAGTCAGACAAGACCAAATATCACATGGTTTCTCGACATTCTCAGAATGTATGTAAATCCAATTTTCTTTGCCACATTTTCATCAAAGCTCTTTTCATCTCACTGTTTCGCAAGCTGTAGATCAGTGGATTCAGCAGAGGTGTAAGCAACGTGTAAAACAAGGACATCAGCTTCTTGGTTTCTGGGGAATAGCCAGATTTGGGTTGTAAGTAAGTCATACTGGCTGTGCCATAGAAGAGGGTAACAGATGTGAGATGGGAGGCACAGGTGGAAAAGGCCTTTTGCCTCCCAGTGGTTGTTGGCATCTTTAGAACGGCAAAGAGAATTCGAACATAAGACAAGAGTATCAACAAGAATGGAACAATAACTGTCAGAATGGTGCCAGTGAATGCATAGATCTCAAACAAAAAGGTGTCTGCACATGCCAGCTCTAGCACTGGGGGAGTCTCACAGAAGAGATGATTAATTTCATTGGGGCCACAAAAGGGGAAACTAAACACCCATGTGGTCTGCACAGTAGCCACTGTGATCCCTGAGACCCATGAGAATGTAACTAATTTCACAAAAACCATTTTGTTCACAATCATTGGGTAGCTCAGAGGATGGCAGATAGCAGCAAATCGGTCAAAAGCCATTGCCCCCAGAAGAAAACATTCAGTCACACCAAAAAGAAGAATGAAGTACATTTGTGCAAAACAGCCCACTGTAGAAATCCTCATCTTCTCAGTGGAAAGGATCACCAGCATAACAGGCATAATGACTGCACTGATACCCATATCCACCACAGACAAGTTTCGGAGAAACAGGTACAAGGGGACATGCAGGCTCTGTTCCAGGGAGATGACAACTATGATGATGGCATTTCCCATCAGAGTCACCAGGTAAACCACCAAGAAAACCCCAAAGAGCTGCTCTTCGAGTTCAGGGAAGTTAGAAAAGCCCAAGAGGATGAATTCAACCACAGAGCTTTGGTTTTGTCTTTTCATGTCAACAGTGAAGCATATGTTGTTTTTATGAACATGGCTTGGAAAGTACAAGGTCACAGTCCAATAGCTTAAATCCAACCAATCTGGGCAGAAGATATAAAGAGGAGTCCATCCTGATAGAAATTTAGCTTAACGGTTTTGGAGAATGGCCGATTATTGTAACTTAGAAATCTTGTCTGATATATACAAAATAGTACCCAAAAATAGCATCAAACTTTTATGACAAATTGAAAGCTAGGTGGTTTAAAAACCTGATTTAGTGTTAAAGCAAATAAGAATATTTTGTAACTTAGATTCCATTCATGTAACATTAATCAAGTTATCATCTATATTCCCAATTTTATATAAGTATGAAATTAAAGACCACAAAAAATAATGTGCCTGGGCTCACGTTTTCTTTTTAGAAAGTAGCGACATAAAAAGAAAGCAAATGTGGGTTAGCACTCTCCTCATTTCATTCAAAAGGCTCTGGAATAAGAAATATTTAAAGATTTTTAAAATGGAACAGATAAGACAATTTGAGTTTCCATGGGTATAAAAATTCAATATATACTACTAGAGAAATGTGCACCTAAAAATGATAAATTTTATGTAATGTATATTTTAACACAATATAAAAATTAATAGATTAAAGTTTTAAATTTATTTAAATGAAATATCAAAAGGAGACAAATGGGAAAAGCTACCCAGAAATTTTTGATAAAAAATCTAATAATTCTAAGTACAACAAGGGAAACATGTAACTGTTATGAATATTCATTAGTTCAAAATGACTGTGTATGGCTTGGTTAAATGTGACAACAATCTGCAGAAATACACAAAAACGGTTTGTTTTAGATGTTTCTAACTTAGGTGATCTGTAAACTATGTAAATTAATTCTAGAGTTAGAGATTTTTGCTCAGACTGTTTCTAGCCAAATATATTGGGATTTGCCCAGATGAGAAATTTGGAGGGTCATTTCTCCACGATGCATCCTTATGATTATGATCATCATCATTTAAGAAAAAGCCCATGTTGTAGGAATCCTATACTTGTCATTTTATTGAATCCCTTCTCTCACTTGTCCTTCCTCTCTCTCTCTTTCTCCCTATTAAATATTTTTATCAAATTGTGCAATTAATCACTAATTATTAAACAAACACTGATTGAGCGCCTACCATTTTTAGCCCCTATGCTCTCAGGCACACCTTGGATACCAGAGTTCAACAGGGAGCAAAACTCACAACCTAAAATGGAAAATAAGATTTCACTCCCTAACACAGTACTTCTAACTCCTACCTCTCATACTGTGCTCTGTTTTTTTATCTCCTACTGATATTCTATGTATACTTTTATATATAAACTAACTCTTTCACTAAACATAAACTCCAGGGCAACAAAGATTATGTTTTATATTCACAATGCCTACAACAGTCTCTGACTCAGAGCAAATACTAAATCAATTTATTCTTGAATAAATGGAAAATGCAGACTCTAAGAAATGTTATGTTTACATGAAAAGTAAAATCAATATAAACACTATTGGGAAACATGGGGTTTAGACATTTCATTGAGAGAAAGATTATTTCTAAATGAGGGATAAGGGTGAACAACTACTTCATGAGAAGTGGGGGTGGGGGGGGTAAAAGGGCAATTAGACTGGAAGGAGAGGGGAGGAAGGCTGACTTGCTCAAGTCAAAGTGTATTCGATGACAACTTAGCACTAGAATGAAGGCCTGCTAGCTTTGTGTGATGTTTTGAAAACCAGTTAACTGGGAAATGAGGAACCCAAGAAGACCGAAAGATACAACAAGCTGAAGACACTAAATGACACTGAGTACAGATCATAGAATGTTAGCAGCCAGCAGGAGGCAAGTTCACCTATTTCTGAGTTCAGCCATAGTCATGTGTCAAAATCAAATATATATATATAATTATGGCTGATTCGCATTGTTGCACAGCAGAAATCAACACACAGTTGTAAAACAATCTTCCACCAATTTTAAAAAAAAAAACAGTGTCTATTCAGCTACGAATTTTATAAATAAATAGATTTTGAAAATTAAAAAGTTTACAGAATCACATAAGCAAAGTAGGAAGCCTTCAAAGGACTGATTAAATGTGTATATGAAACAAAATGTTCATGGTGGAAAGAGCAACAGACCATGGCCAATCTATCTTTTCTACATAACTTAGAAAACCCTAACGCTGTCTTGATAACTCTCTGACATGGAATACTTGGGTACCATACTCCTCTCTGGATCTCAGCCTTCCAGTTGAAAAAGGTTGGGTTGGACTTATTTACCAAGTTCCTTACAGTGACAGTCTTTAAGATTTGATTACTACTGCATGCAAATTACTTTACCTCTAATTATTGCTCCAAATTTTTCTCTGAAAAGAAAAAAGAAATTGATGAGCATCAACATCAACTGACTCAAACATATAATCTGTGTCCGGTGATTCCTAAGCACGGAGACAATACTTCAACAGTATCTCCAACTATCAGTGGAAGATGAACTGAAAACGGAAAACCCACCAACAAGCACACACCTGAACCTTCATTTTCTTACATATTGAATCTGTCAATTTAAAGTTTACAGCGCTTTGTCTGAAGTTTCACCTCTAGTCAAAAGCCACCTTCTCATAAACACAACTCAATGATTCAGTGCACTGTTTCTAGAACGTTATATGATATTGAATCACATGCCCTAGAGAACCCATCCTTGGAGAACTTGGAATCACTTAATACATGCTTTCTTGTATGCTTGCACAATAACTAAAGAGGCTTGAACTTGGGCCCTCAGGTGAGAGAGCTCAAGAGGACTAACCTAGAGCACCACTCCCTCATATTCCTACAGGGAATAAATGTAGAACCTACACCTCCTCACACAAGAGACTCAATGTCACCATGACATCTCCCAATAGAAGTGGAAGCCATGACTTAATAAAGGTTGTAAATGGGGAAGGAAGAGAGCAATGAGGGAAAGGTGTGAGCAAAGGCAGGTGAGCAAGAGGGGGAGGGATGACTGGATGGAATGTATAATTTATGCAGGGGTGGAAAACCAGTTAAGGCAGGGAGATGGATATCTCATTGTAAAAAGTCTGTATATCCTCCCCACCTCTCAATAAACAACTCTTGATCATTTGTACAGGAAATAGAGAGCCACTGAAAATTGTTGAGAAAAATGTCATTACAAATTATTTCAGATGGAACTTTTAAACTGAGAATCAAAATATCTGTACTTGTTAGCATATTTTGAGCAAATATTTTAACTTCCCTGATTATACTGCTTTCTTTGTAAAATAATCATAAATTATTGATCTCATTGAGTATTTGTGAAAATCAAGGGACTCAAAGATGAGTCTAAACTCTCTTGTACATGTCCAGAACTGGACAGTGAGGCTGGAATGTAGGTTCCCTTTGTCTACTTTTATTTCTTCTTTCCTGATGTAGACTGTTCCATTTTCAAGGAAGTTCAACCTTCCTGGCAGCAATGAGGTTTCCAACATTCTATCTAATCTGTATCCAGTGGGAAATGCACCACTTATGCTGAGGAAAAGGGATTTTCATCACAGAATCCAATACAAACCCCTCCTATATCATTCACCATGCTGGGATAACACCACTTGCATGCGCCAATCACATGCACCAATGTGGGGAAGCCTATTTATGTACTTCTGATGATTCATACCGCAACAATCCCATCACAGGGTCTTTATAAACACTGAAATGTCCTATTTCCCTGGTGGCTCAGACGGTAAAGCATCTGCATGCAATGCAGGAGAACTGGGTTCAATCCCTGGGTTGGGAAGATCCCCTGGAGAAGAAAATGGCAACCCACTCCAGTATTTTTGCCTGGAAAATTCCATGGACTGAGGAGCCTGGTAGGCTACAGTCCATGGGGTCGCAAAGAGTCAGACATGAATGAGAGACTTCACTTTCACTCTCCACCCCAGCAATCCCATCACAGGGTCCTTATGACTGCTGAAATGTCCTATTTCTTGATGTAGTTGATGGATGGTAACACAGATGATGTGCAGTTTTGAGATTTCTACAAGATGTAAGGCCATGAGTTATACCCTTTGCTAGGTGTACATGCCATTTTCTGGAGAAGAGGCGGCAAGAACACACATTAAGAAGAACTATACAAAAAAAGATCTTAATGACCCACATAACCACAAGGGTGTGATCACTCACCTAGAGCCAGACATCCCGGAGAGTGAAGTCAAGTGGATCTTAGGAAGCGTCACTACAAGCAAAGCTAGTGGAGGTAATAGAATTTCAGCTGAGTTATTTCAAATCCTAAAAGCTGATGCTGTGAAAGTGTTGCACTCAATATGCCAACAAATTTGGAAAATTCGGCAGTGGCCACAGGACTGGAAAAGATCAGTTTTCACTCTAATCCCATAGAAGGGCAATGCCAAAGAATGTTCCAGCTACGACACAATTGCACTCATTTCACATGTTAGCAAATTAATGCTCAAAATTCTCCAAGCCAGGCTTCAACAATACATAAATCAAGAACTTCCACATGTTCAAGGTGGATTTAGAAAAGGCAGAAGAATCAGAGATCAAATAGCCAACATCTTTGGATCATAGAAAAAGCAAGAGAATTCCAAAAGAACATCTACTTATCCTTCACTGACTACACTAAAGCCTTTGACTGTGTGGATCACAACAAACTGTAGAAAATTCTTCAAGAGATGGGAATACCAGACAACCTTACCTGCCTCCTGAAAATCTGTATGCCCATCAAGAAGCAACAGAACCAGTCCATGGAACAATGGACTGGTTCAAAACTGAGAAAGAAGTACATAAAAGCTGTATATTGTCACCCTGCTTATTTAACTTATATGCAGAATACATCATGAGAAATGTTGGGCTGGATAAATCACAGGTTGGAATCAAGATTTCCAAGAGAAATATCAGTAACCTCAGATATGCAGATGACACCACCCTTATGGCAGAAAGCAAAGAAGAACTAAAGAGCCTATTGATGAAGGTGAAAAGGAGAGTGAA